AAATATTCTTATCTGGTTATCTCATAGATGTCCAAATTTTCATCAGTCCTATAAATCCAGTTGCTTTATTTGTTTTTGGTTTTTTTTTAACAAACTTTTGTAATATTTTCACTGTTCTGTGCTCTATATACTGTGTGCTATAATTTAGAATCCTTGAGAAATTAGTCCTCTTAGATCGTTTTAGCTGGCAGAAGTTTAGATCCCAAAACTTTGCACCTAATGCTGAAAACATTTTATAAACTATGATGTCTTTATTCTCTTTCTCAGGAGAGTGGTTATTTTGCATCTAACCATAGAAAGTATGTCTCTATTTGTTATGAGAAATAATTTTCCCGAATAAATTTATAAGGTATTTATTGGTTTTCATTTTGAAATTAAGTAAATACCAGTTTGTTTCAGTAATATGTTTGGGTTGTGCTTAAAAATTATTTACTGTTCCACAAAGGCTACATGTTAAAATATTAATAGTTATTTTGCCTTCATTCTTTAAGTTTACTTTTTTAATATATAGAATGTGGGTTGACAGTTTGAGTTTCTTCTCTTTCAGCACTTAAATTATTTCGTTTCACTATCTTCTGGCTTCCATTGTTTCTGATAAGTCAGTGTTCATTCGAATTATTGTCATTATTGATACATAACGTGCCATTTCTTTGACTGTTTTCAAGATTTTCTTTTTCTTTAGTTTTTAGCAGTTTGACTATGTTGTGCCTATGTGTAGTTGTCTTTTGTTTTCCTATTTGGGGTTTGCTCATCTTCTTGAATCTATAAATTCCTACCTTTTAGTAACTTGGGAAAATTTTTAGCCACTATTTCTTCAAATACTTTTTTCTACCTCATTTTTCTCCCTTTCCTTCTGGGTCTCCAGTTACTGGTATGCTACCACTCTTGTAACTTTGCCACAGGTCCCTGAGGTTCTGTTCTTTATTTTTCCCTTAGTCATTTTTCTCTTCATCCTTCAGATTGGGTAATTTCTATTGCTTTATCCTCAAGTTCACTGATTCCTCTGCCATTTCCACTCTGTAGTTAAGTCCATCCAGTGCATTTTTTAATTTCAGATATTTATTTTTCAGTTTTTAAATTTCCTTTTGGCTCTTTTTTTATAGTTTCTATTTCTTTGCTGAGAGGTCCAAGTATATTTGCTCTGAAATCCTTGAGCATAGTTAAAATAGCTGCTTTAAGATACTTACGTGCCAGTTCTAGCAGCTGGGTCATTTTGAGCTTAGTCTCCATTGGTTGCCTTTTCTCTTGGGTATGGGTCAGTTTTTCCTGTTTCTTATGTGTAATAATTTTGGAGTGTATTCAGGATGTTATTAATGGTAACATAGACACTCTGGATTATATTATGTTCCTCCAATGAATATTGATGTTTAGTTTGTTTCAGTGGGTACATAACTAAACTCAAAATACAAACTGATTTCTCAGTTCAGTTATTTTAATATTAGCCTGGCTGCTTGGAATCTGTCTCTCATATGTGTAGTTTGGAGATCAGAGATATATACAGAGTTTGTACACAGAATTCCGGGCTTCCTCTTTGTGGTTCTCTCCTTCCTGTGATTTACTGGGTAAGTTTTTAACTACAGTGGTCATGCAAAATTTGTCCCTTGGCTCGTCAGTCAAGTACAACTGCAGGTTTTCTATCTGGGTCTTAGTTACCCAAATTAAGTGGGTCCTGCTCTCTGGGTAAAAACCGTTTGTTTCTGCTTTCAAGTAGTTTTTTGTGCTTTTCTCGTGTTTTTAGTTGTTATTTGTGAAAGAGTTGGTCAAGTAGGAGGCACTCAGCCATTACAGGAAATAGAAGCCATAAAATAAAATGGTACATTTGAAGAGTGTCTCATTTGTGTACTTGGTAGTCTTTATTATTAATAGAAAACCAAGCAAGTGTGGTAAAATATTTCAGTATATGTTTTAATAATGGAATATGTTGAAATTTGTTTTCATCATTCATCCTCTTTTAAATAATAAAGTCACTCAGACTGAGTATTTATTTGCCTGTCCCTCAAATTTTGTATAAATTATTTTTTCCCAAGTAGATTTGAAATATGTTTTGGAAACAAAGTAATATGAGGAAACCTTATAGTAAAACTTTCATTTTATCCAACAAATGTCACGTCCTGTGGGAGTCAGGAATGATCTAGATCCTGGGGATAGAGCCATGAACTTCAAAGACCTTGATCCTATGGAGCTAATGTTTTTAGGATAGATAATGAATAAATATATATCAGGTATTGATAAATGCTATGAATAAAAAGCTGTATGAGGATGTGAGGGTGAGATGGGGGTGCAGCAGAGGTGTGGCATTATTTTAGATAGAGGGATTGTGGACAGAGAAACTCTCTGAAGAAGTGACATTTGATGAAAGATCTTAATGACATAAGAGAGGGAGCCAGTCAAGTAAGTATCTGAGGGAAAACTGTTCCAAGCAAAAGGAGCAATAAGTCCAAAAACCTTAAGGAAAGAACAAAATTGGCTTCTTTGAGAAATTACCAGAAGGCCAGTTGGAATTGAGGGAATAAGGAGAGTGATAGGAGATGAAGTTAGAAGGGTGGCAGATAGCCAGCAGCCTTGCTATGTTGGATTTTGAGCAGGGGGAATGAGGACTGATCTTTTCATAAAGATCACTTTGCTCAACAGACTGGAGGTGTGTGTGTGCTGCCGTGGGGTAAGGGTGCAGGTGTTGGAGCAAAGAATGAAGACAGGAAGAGACCAGTTAGGAGACTTTTGCAGTTGCAGTCTAAGGGAATTAGATGGTGGCTTGGACAAGAGCCATAGAGGTGCGGAGGAGTGGTCAGATTCAGAATACTTTTTGTAGATAAGCCAATAAGGCTTGATGGTAGATTAAATGTAGGATGAGAGAAAGACCACCTGGATAAATGATGGTACCATTTACTGAAATGGAAAAGATTGGAAAAGTGTTGGCTAGGGGGGATTAAGAATTTGATTGTGTACATATTAAGTTTGAAATAAGCTGATATCCAAAAGGAGATGTCAGGGAGGCACTTGGATATATTAATCTGGAACTTAAGGAATAGATGATAATTTGCCAACCCTCAGTATATAGATGCTTATTATTTATTTTAATCTGCTTTATTGTGAGTTAATATAGATGCTATTTAAAGCAGTGTATTGGAATGAAATTACCCTAAAGAGGAATGTAGATACAGTTGGAAAGAAATCCTAGCACCACTAGCCACCAACATTTAGATGTCCAGAAAAGGAAAAGGATCCAGCAAAGAAAACTGAGAAGAAGCTGCCAGTAGGTAGAAGGAAAACCAGAAGGATATAAATCTCAGAAGCCAAGGGAAGTGATTCTTTAAAGAATGAAGGAGTGGTTGACTAGGTCATAAGCTGCAGAGAAGTCTAGAACCCACCCCTGGGCTTTATGACCTGAACGTATATGGCTGCTCAGATAAATGTGGTTTCAGTGGAGAAAAACTATAAAATCTTGATTGGTGTGGTTTTAAAAGAAATTAGGAGGGAGGAAATGAAGACACTTAAGCATAAACAACCCTCTCCAGGACTTTTAGCCCTATATGGGGGAGGAGCAGAGAAATGGGCTGATAATTTGAGAGCAATCAAGAAAGGTTTTCTTAAGCTGAACAGTTCTGTGGCATGTTTGTAACCGCTTAAATTATTTTTAAATATCATTTACTAATTTTCAGTAGTTCTCTTTTCTCCTGCAACCCATTTATAGAAAGACTTCTTTGAGTCTAAAATGTGTGTATGTTTTACATATAAATACTTTTGGGAAATCTATAATGCAAGTAACTTAGTTTGGCAGTGATTTTATCTGTGAGATGTAACTAAGCTAAAGTCACACAGAAAAATCAAGTAAAATTTAATCAAGTAATGATAAAAAGCTAAAACATTTACTCTGCATGATATCTAAGTGAGCATTTATTCTATTGAGGACTCAGGAGTTCTATCATAGCTAAATCTGTTCAAAACTATTTCAGCATCTACTGTTATGTTAAGGACATTATAAAAGTGCTAGAGACACAATAATAAACAAAAGACACCTAATTCCTACATTCATGAAATTTTCAGACTTGTATTTTTTTAAGCTTATGTTAATGAGGTTAAAAGAGAAATACTACAAATAAGAAATTAGTTTTAAAAATACTGTCTTCTTATTATATTTGTCCTAAAATGAAATATATTTTAATTATTAATCAAATAGCATGATCATAAATAAATTTAGTGTTTTATTTAGGTTTAACATACTTACATCCTATTTATATCCCAAAGAGGTTTTCAAGAGTAAACATGGTTTACATTAGGAACATTAGGAATAAAAATAAAGTAAGTAGTTTTCAACTTTGGCCACACATTGTAATCACTCAGGGAATTTATAAAACCCCCAATGCCCAGGCCACTTGCTCCTCAACCAATTAAATCAGAACCTCTAGTATTGGGGCCCAAATATTAATATTTGTTAAATACTGATTTAATAGAAGCAGAAGGAATAAAGTGCCACTAAGCTCCTGAGAATGAATTGATTGTACATTTAAGGATTAAGTATGTCTAAAAGATAAAGCAAGATTTCAAATAATTGAGTTTTAAATCATTAAGTTTTCATTTGTAGAACCAAATGTTTTTCAGTATCCAAACTTTAGAATTTTTAAGTAAGCAAATACGACTACTCACTTTAGGCTGTCCTCTAATCACCAAGAAAAAAAAATTAGTAAAGTTAATCATTTTCCCTTTAAAAGAATGAGGGAAAACAACCTTGACAGTAATGTCTTACTTGAATGTCTTTTGGCTCAGCCATTATAGAGCACACAAATACATAGGAATTAGACAATATAAAGTTTACCAAAAGTTATCCGGAAAAGACAATATAACTATATGAAAAGCATTTTAGGTTTAAATAATATTATTTTTATAGCTTATATTAAATGTTAAGTGCTAAAGCACATACACTCTGTACTGACATTTTAAACCCACAATAATATTCATTCTGTAATCAGTTCTCATTAAATTTTTTTTTCTTTCTTTCACAGAAAATGCTTGGACAGAAGAGATGAGTACTATTTCCACTAAGGCCTAGAATTGCCTACTGTACAAATAATCCTGATCAGGCAATATACGAATGGCCCAAGGAAGCCACCAAATTGATTTTCAGGTTTTACATGACCTGCGACAAAAATTCCCTGAAGTACCTGAAGTTGTTGTGTCCAGGTGCATGTTACAGGTCAGTGTTCAATGATTTCTGAATTTATTAATACAAACCTGGTTATTTTTTTAAAAAACATTGGAAGAAAACTCTTTTAAGTTATCTTCATGTTGGCATTATTGATCTATGATGAAATGAGATGAGCTTTGGTGTCTGATAGTCATGTGGCCTTTGACAAGATGGAGTTCTCTGTATCCCATCTGTAATAGGAATAATAATTACCCGATAGAGTAGATGTGAGGGTTAAATAGATCTGAATGTAAAGCACAGATTGTGGTCCATATACTTTCTAGATATGAACTTTCTTCACTTTTCCCCCTCCCATTATGCTAGGACAACTAATTCCAGATCTTCATATGAAAGTGAGAAAAATCATTAAATTAAGGAGTGAGGAAACCTAGGCTCTAATCCTAAATGGACACCCTAAGCACATTTGTCAAGTAATATGTCCTCTTTGTACTTTGATTTTCTTATCTGTAAAATGAAGGAGTTTAACTAGTTAATGCCTAAGGTACCAATTCTAAAGAAAAAAATCTGTTTTTATATTGTATATTTTTAATTTGTAAGCTTTCCAATTAATATCACTAATCCCCTAATTTTTACATTGTTGTTAGGTTGTTAGTATACACAATTTTAGAAATCCATAATTCTGAATGGTGATAGTTGTACCTTCACATTTTATTAAACTAGAAATCTTTATATCAAAAACTATTTAGGCTCAGTTAGACATATTTACTCTTGACAAATTATTTTTAAAGCTTGAAATTATGTGAAAGTATTATCAAATCTATACTTGGTATTAAATGACTACATGTTGTTCACAACCCTTATCATCTTTTATTTAACCTTTTAATTGGTCTACCTGCCTTTAGCCTAACCCAGTTTTGATCTCTCCAGTCTACCCTCTTAGTTCTATCAAAGTGCCGAGTTCGTTTATGTAAATAACATACATAAAGCCTCTTTTAAAAAAAATTTTTTTTAAAGACAGGATCTCTTTTGCACTAGCTAGAGTACAGTGGCATTGTCATAGCTCACTGCAACCTCAAACTCCTGGGTTCAAGCAGTCTTCCTGCCTCAGTCTCCCAAGTACCTGGGTAGCTGAGACTGTAGGCACGCACCACCATGCCCAGCTAATTTTTCTATTTTTTTGTAGAGATTGTGTCTCGCACTTGCTCAGGCTGGTTTCTAACTCCTGGCCTCAAGCGATCCCCTCACCTCAACCTCCCAAAGTGCTGGGATTATAGACTTTAGCCACCACATCTAGCCAAAATCTCTTGGGTTTCCCATACCCTCCAGAATGAGGCTCATATATCTCGCCTAATGTATAGAAGGTCAGTGATTTGAATACTGGCTTCTTCTACAGCCTGATCTCTTGTCCTGTCCTGTTTCCTCAAATCCTCTGCTATAGCCATTGTTAGCTGCATGGAATTCTCCAAACTTGCCTGACTCTTTCCATAGTATAATGGTTAAGAGTGTGTGTTTTGGTGATAAACAGACTTGGCAGTTAGTGACAATAATTTAATTAACCTCTCTGGCCCTAATTTTCTGACTTGCATTTACTCAGTTGTACAATGAGAATTTTAAAAATTCATAGAATGCAGGTAAAGCAACTAGTAGGATACCTGATTCATAATGAGTATTCAATAGATGTTAGTAGCTAATTAATAGGAGTAATAGTAGTAGAAGGCCCATAATATTTGATAATTTTCATTTGTCTATATAAAATGAGAAAGGGAAAAAAAGAGAGGAAAAAATGTAATAAAGATATAGTCAGAAGTTAAAGCAAGTCTGGGGAAGGAGCAGAGATAGTGAGAAAAAGTTAGTCTTCCCCCTAGAACACAAGTACCTTTTCCTGACTTTTCAAATAAAATAGAATTTTGTGGTAAAATAAAGCTGTGCTAAGAATGTTCAGTGAGTTATTAAAAAACTAATAGGAAAATACTTTAGATTCCTTGATAAAATTCTGTAGACTTCATATTGGAAAGAATTGTCCAGAACACTTCCCGGTTGCACAGCTATAGAGATATTTTTTTCTTTTCTTTCTTTCGGCATATTACAGGGATACGAATCTTTAGATTACACATATTGTCTTTGCCCAGCCCGAGTCAGAGCTTCAAGCGTGTCCATCCCCCAGACAGTGCATACTGTACCCATTAGGTGTGTAATATACCCACACCTTCCTCCCCCGTCCCATATGGAGATTTTGAAATTCCCTAACTGGGTGTAAAAATTAGAGTCTTGTAGAATTACATAAAATATTTTCAAAAGAATAAAGAGCTCTAGTGTACTTTTACAGTATGATCTTCAGGATGTGTTAAGAAAACAAGATGCAGAGTGGGATGTATAGTTGGAGCAGGTTAAATAAATATATACACATATGTGTATTTGCCCCTATTTGCATGAAGAAATACTAGAAGAGTGAAAAACAAAATTAACAAAAGATGGTTACCCATAGTAGGCAAGAGAGAATAGCCAGATGGGGATAGAGTTAGGATTGAGAGTTCTCAATATGTATCTTTTTTATTGTTTTGATCTATATAAATGAATTACCTATATAAAAATAAAATAATCAAGCATGTTTTCTACTTTACTCAAAAATAGAAAATAGGTGATTTTGAATTTCCGTTGCACATCCAGTAATTCCACCCTCACTATGTTAATCTGATTTTGCAAAAAAAAAAAAAAAACTCCTCTACACTCAACGTGCTTCTCAGCACCTAGTGATGACTCATATGAAATCTGTTTTGCTAGCAAATTACCCATGAAACAGACCACACTTTTTACAAATGAGTTGATAATCATTCTGGGGATCCATATAATATACTTTTTAGCTGCTGAGAAATGTGACAAGAAAGGAATGGGGAGGGCTCTTTGGGGATACAACTAAGATGCAAGTTTTCCCGAATTTAGAGAGAGATTTTTAAACTATAAAGGCAAATTAAGCTACTTCTAAATGACAGCCTCTGTTTTGGGAGCTGCTCACCTTTTCTCAACTGGTTGGACTTCTGTTCTTTTTCTTGGGAGATCCTCACTATAGTATATTGGTTCAGAACTTTTTAAGAAATCGGTAAAGGATCGTGCCATGCTGCCACTCTATACATGTTCTTAAACGTCTTGCTTAGGAGGAAAATGTGAGTGTCTATCCTCTGTTCTCCTCTTGACTTTCTTTACACAGATCCTTCTTTTTGGAATTACATGATTTCCTTATGGTATAGATTCTCTAAGATAGCTATATTGCCAGCAGCTGTAATTTGTATCCTTAAAATTTGTTTTTATATTTGGTAATTAAAACTTAAAATATTGCATAGTTGAAAATATGGGATAGTTGGCAATTTGATTTTTTTTCTTTTTTAACTGAGTTTTTCACTTTTTAAAAGTTTCTTTCATGTGATGATTAAATGAATCTATAGATTTAAAATTGCTATTTCTTTTCTAAGTAATGCATTATTATTCTTTCACTATATGTAAGACTTGGTATTTAAGTGCCATCTCCTTAGTTGAAGTCTTTCAGATGACCTTCACCCATAGTTCTTATTCATTTTTCTATTATAACACCTACTGTCCTGTATTATATTTGTGTTCACATTAATCTTCTCTGCTAGACTTTGAGGTTCTTGAGATGAGCTGTCGTTTTCCTTTCCACTTGCCTAAAGGATGCTCAGTAAATGTTGGTTGAAGGGGTAAATGAATCATTGTTTGAGAAAGGTAGTTATAGGGTGTATTTTGATACTATCTGTAATTTCTGTGTCTGTGCAGGAGTTTGGGGGGAAAGTGAAAAAGAGAAACTGGAAATAAAGATTCAGACTTCTTTGTAGCTTTGAAGAGAATGCAGATTTGTGGTTATATACAAAACAATGATTCTTGGCCTTTTAAAAACTCATATCCCATCCCTTTTGATACACTTAAAGGGAATTGTCTACAGTTTCCAATTAAAAAGAACCATGGCTTCTTTGAGAAATGGCTGATTCCAGGTCTGGAGTAGGAAATGTACAAGATGAGCTTGGCTATCTTGCCATATCAGAAAGCAAAGAAACTATGAAAAACTACTGGATTCATTTTATATGTACCCAGGAGCCAACTTGAAGCTGTTCTCTGTAGCCTAAACATAGGATATAATGACCACAATTGATTGAAGCACATCAAAATATTAAAGACACAGAAGTTTATAATGATACTAAAAATAAATCATAATCACCTTTGGAGATTGCTAGGGCACCGACTTATGACTGACTTATTCTAAAAACTCACAAAGAGAAAAGACTTTCTTTATCCTGCCTCTTTTATGCAAAAAGTAGCCAAATAATTGAAGAGAGCAGGTCTTCAAGGAAAAATTGTTGCTAAGAAACAAAGATGAAATCTTATAATTGGGATATCCCCAATATTACTGTTTTGCCACCCCTAATGAAATAATGTTTCTAAACAGTGATCATCAATAGCTGCTAAAACTCATTATTTGGATCAAGCTGACAGCATCTGACTTCACCAGTCAGCTTTAAAAATCACAAAAAGACAGGTATACATTATTATATCTCCTTGTGTGGTGTGACAATAGACTCTATGAAGGGTCTTACCAAAAATTTTACATGCATTTGATCACACTCTTAAATATAACTGCTAGCTTACAATCAAATACAGGGTATATTAACACCACAGGGTGCAATCCACAATGTGGGAAATTCTACTGGACAAATGTTAAGTTTTCTCCACAAAAAAAAGGAGGAAAGAGTTTAAAAGGAGGAGTTTAAAAGAGCTTAAAAGGAGATTAATTAATCTCTTAATTAAGAGAAGAAACCTAAGAGGCATATCGACCAAATGAAATGTGTGGACCTTATTTATATCCTGATTTAAACTAACTATAAAAAGACATTTATGAGACAGGGAAATTAAACACTATTTGGATATTAGATGATATTGAGTCCCTGTTTTTTAGAGAGATATATTGAAATATTTACTCCTGAAAACAAGATGATGTCTTGGACTTTATCTAATTTGGTGGGGGGAATAGCTCAGGCATACACACTGTATGAAAAAAATTCATCATGTTGTTAAAGATAGATGATGAGTACCTGGGAGTTTATCATATTTCCTCTCTACTTTTATACATGTTTAAAATTTTCTAAAATAAAAAGTCTAATGTATATTTCGTTTTGTCCTGTTGTAACCTCTTGAAACCCCTATAAGTTATTTTATGTTTTGCTGATAAGAAAGCGATGTCTGTAGTCCCAGCTACCAGGAAGGCTGAGGTAAGAGGATTACTTGAGCCCAGAAGTTCAAGGCTGCAGCAAGCTATGATTGTGCCACTGCACTTCAACCTGGGTGTTAGAAAGGGCAAATAAATTATGGCATAGCTGGGGCTAGAATATTGCTGTTTAATATGAACATATTAAATAATCAGATTACAAAGGATTAAAGGAACCTTTGAGAGCTAAACAGGAAGACTTTTTAAATATGAGTATCAAGTTTTTACACAGGGATTGTGGAGTTGGAATTGGTAGGGAATACACATTTTAATTTAAGAATGATAGAAGGGAGAAGATGAGAGGAAGATGTGATCTCTGATCTTTGGTTTAGAAGGGAAAAGAATTAACTTGGAATGGCGATAAAAGTAGTTACAGCAAAAAGCACCAATTAGGCTTGGCAAAAGATAAGGTCTAACTATAAGAAGAAGTGATCAACCAATAAAGATTGTGACCAGTTTTTCAATTTTATTTGAAAAACCAGTATATATCAATTCAGAATAGCAAGTAGGATAAAAGACCAGCCTGGGCAGCAAGACCCCATCTCTAAAAAAATGTTTAAAAGGTATGAGACTCTCAGCCGGGCACGGTGGCTCATGCCTGTACTCCTAGCCCTGTGGGAGGCCAAGGTGGGTCGATCACTCAAGGTCAGGAGTTCGAAACCAGCCTGAGTAAGAGGGAGACCCCATCTTTACTAAAAATAGAAAGAAATTAATTGGCCAACTAAAAATATATAGAGAAAAAATTAGCTGGGCATGGTGGCACATGCCTGTAGTCCTAGCTACTCAGGAGGCTGAGGCAGAAGGATCACTTAAGCCCAGGAGTTGGAGGTTGTTGTGAGCTAGGCTGACGCCATGGCAGTCTAGCTTGGGCAACAGAGTGAGACTCTGTCTCAAAAAAAAAAAAGTATGAGACTCTCTTCCGGTCTGGTCTCCTCTTCCTTCTCTGATCTGGTCTCCTTTTCCTCATCTGGTCTTGTCTCCAGTTTCGTCTTCTCTTCCAGTCTAGTCTCTTCTTCTTTATCCGATCTGGTTTCCTCTTCCATTTCCAGCCTGGTCTCCTCTGATCTGGTCTCATCTTCCTTGTTGGGTCTCATCTCCTTTTCCTCATCTGATCTGTTTTCCTCTTCCTCATCCAGTCTGGTGTCATCTTCCTAAATAAAATTTTTTTAAAAAGGGTAAGCCAGGCCGGGCGCTGTGGCTCACGCCTGTAATCCTAGCTCTTGGGAGGCCGAGGCGGGCGGATTGCTCAAGGTCAGGAGTTCAAAACCAGCCTGAGCAAGAGCGAGACCCCGTCTCTACTATAAATAGAAAGAAATTAATTGGCCAACTAAAAATATATAGAGAAAAAATTAGCTGGGCATGGTGGCACATGCCTGTAGTCCTAGCTACTCAGGAGGCTGAGGCAGAAGGATCACTTAAGCCCAGGAGTTGGAGGTTGTTGTGAGCTAGGCTGACGCCATGGCAGTCTAGCTTGGGCAACAGAGTGAGACTCTGTCTCAAAAAAAAAAAAAAAAAAAAAGGTAAGCCAGGTGTGATAGCGTGCCTGTAGTCTCAGCTACATACTGGAAGGATTGCTTGAGCCCAGGAGTTTGAGGCTCCAGTAAGCTGTGATCGTAACACTGCACTCCAGCCTGGATGACAGAGCAAGACCCCATCTCTTTAAAAAAAAATTATGGTTTATCTCTCTAATTGAGCTGCAAGCTCTTTTAGAGTTTTATATGTCATTGAGTCTTTCACAAGCTCAGTGCTGTGCATATGGTAGGTGTTCAATAAATGTTTCTATAGATGATTTATTATGACCAGTGGTTAGTTTCTTTTGATTTTTTTTTTTAACTTCTGGAGTAGATTTTTATGGTGCTATCTAAAGGCAGAGATATATATCAACTACGTTTATATAATAAAGGCAGAAATATGAACTCAGTTCCTTTGGAGGCTACCTTGAGCTTATATTTCACATACAGATATATATTTTACACAAATTAAGAGGAAGCATGTGAGGAATTGAGATGACTATGGTAAGAATTTTAGAACTTTTTTAATTTAAATACTACAACTGTAACTTTTTAAATGGTTATTAGTTCAAAAGAATTTGCATAGTACTTGAATGTGCAAGCATTGATAAATATTTTTTCATTTAACTATTTAAAAAATGTTTATATGGTATATATACTTAAGCTGAATGATTATATTTTGTTCAACATTAAAATTGCGTTTTTAATTAGGTTATAATTCTACTTTATTTACTCGAATCCATTTTACTGCTTTTATGCATTTTCACTGCTAAAACAGAACAATGATTTGATTCAGTTTTAGCAGTTGCTAGTCATAGAGCTTTTCCATTACACTAGTAATAATGATTTTTAATTCAACCATTTGCATAAAAATATTTCTCAAGTTAAAACATACCTGTTATAAGTGTATTAACCAATCAGTTTTTAATCATGTAATATTTTTATAGTGATGAAAATATAAGCATTAGCTTCTGGTTGTTATCATCAAGCTGTTTTTATTTTGTTTTATAGAATAATAATAACCTGGATGCCTGCTGTGCTGTTCTCTCTCAGGAGAGTACAAGATATCTTTATGGAGAAGGAGACTTGAATTTTTCAGATGATTCTGGAATCTCTGGTCTACGCAATCACATGACTTCTCTCAACTTGGACTTGCAGTCACAGAACGTTTACCACCATGGAAGAGAAGGAAATAGAATGAATGGGAGTAGGACTCTAACGCACAGCATTAGTGATGGACAACTTCAAGGTGGTCAGTGTAATAATGAACTATTTCAGCAGGAGCCACAAACAGCACCAGCTCAAGTTCCTCAAGGCTTTAATGTTTTTGGAATGTCCAGTAGTTCTGGTGCTTCAAATTCAACACCACATCTTGGATTTCACTTAGGCAGCAAAGGAACATCTAACCTTTCTCAACAAACTCCCAGATTTAATCCTATTATGGTAACTTTAGCCCCAAATATCCAGACTGGTCGTAATACTCCTACATCTTTGCACATACATGGTGTACCTCCACCTGTACTAAATAGTCCACAGGGAAATTCTATCTATATTAGGCCTTATATTACAACTCCTAGTGGTACAGCTCGACAGACACAACAGCATTCTGGCTGGGTGTCTCAGTTTAATGCCATGAACCCTCAACAAGTCTATCAACCTTCACAGCCTGGTCCCTGGACTACTTATCCTGCATCTAATCCTCTGTCACATACCTCAACCCAACAAGCAAATCAGCAAGGCCACCAGACCTCTCATGTCTACATGCCCATCAGTTCACCTACTACTCCACAACCACCAACAGTTCATTCATCTGGTAGCTCACAATCTTCTGCCCACAGCCAATATAACATTCAGAATATTTCAACAGGACCTCGAAAAAACCAGATTGAAATCAAACTTGAACCCCCACAAAGAAACAATTCTTCAAAATTGCGTTCTTCTGGACCTCGAACCTCCAGCAGTTCCTCTTCTGTCAACAGCCAGACCTTAAACAGAAATCAACCCACCGTTTACATTGCTGCCAGTCCCCCAAATACTGATGAGCTGATGTCCCGTAGTCAACCCAAGGTCTATATTTCAGCTAATGCCACCACAGGAGATGAACAGGTCATGCGGAATCAGCCCACGCTCTTCATATCCACAAACTCTGGAGCATCTGCTGCCTCTAGGAATATGTCTGGGCAAGTGAGCATGGGTCCTGCCTTTATTCATCACCACCCTCCCAAAAGTCGAGCAATAGGCAATAACTCTGCAACGTCTCCTCGAGTGGTAGTCACTCAACCCAATACAAAATACACTTTCAAAATTACAGTTTCTCCCAATAAACCCCCTGCAGTTTCACCAGGGGTGGTATCCCCTACCTTTGAACTTACAAATCTTCTAAACCATCCTGATCATTATGTAGAAACAGAGAATATTCAGCACCTCACGGACCCTACTTTAGCACATGTGGATAGAATAAGTGAAGCACGGAAATTGAGTATGGGATCTGATGACGCTGCCTACACACAAGGTAATGTTAATACTAAAGGTATTAGTATTAATACTAAAGGTGGGATTATTTTCCATGTTGGACTTACTGGTGTACATTTCATTTCATAGCAGAAATGGGCATCAACATTATCATTTCATCTTTTAAATATTGCCCCAAATAATGTTATCTTAACATTTGAGTGTATTTATATAAATTTTAATTTTATTATCATAAAACTTGAAGTTCGAATGTTATCAGCTCTTCAGAATAATCAACTGATTGGTTTACTTGTTTGTTAATGTTCATAACACTTTTTTTTTCAGCTAATCTTGTACCTGTGGTAATACTGACTTTCCCTTTACAATTTCTACAAATCAAAATTGATGAAAACACATTTTAACAAGTAACTAGTTGACTCTTGACTAATATGCTAAATCTGCCTTCTTTGACCAGATATTTGAAGAATAAAGAATTTCTTCAGGCCGGGCGCGGTGGCTCACGCCTGTAATCCTAGCACTCTGGGAGGCCAAGGTGGGTGGATCGCTCAAGGTCAAGAGTTCAAAACCAGCCTGAGCAAGAGCGAGACCCCGTCTCTACTATAAATAGAAAGAAATTAATTGGACAGAAAAAATTAAAATAGAAAATATATTATAATAGAAAAAATTAGCCAGGCATGGTGGCGCATGCCTGTAGTCCCAGCTACTCAGGAGGCGAGGATCGCTTGAGCCCAGGAGTTTGAGGTTGCTGTGAGCTAGGCTGACCCACAGCACTCTACCCTGGGCAACAGAGTGAGACACTGTCTCAGAAAAAAAAAAAAAAAGAGTTTCTTCATATTTCTAATATGACATTTTCATCTTATATCAAAGTCTAAATTGCTGCATGAGTCCTAGAATAATTTATCTCTCTAAGAGAAATTTGAATCTTGTTCCTCATACTTGTCTTTTTCAACTTGAACCTCCCTTAAATGTTGGGTAATACATTTCTTTTTATTTGGAATTGTGAATAAGAATGTGAATTTTAAAACTACCTTGATTGATTGTCCTTTTCTGAAATAGACTAGTGTGGCATAATACTAAACTGTATCTGTATTAACTCAAGCAAAGACAATTTCTGTTATATGTTCATATGTTTTATCTGACCGCGTAAGTTACTTAATTTTCAGCAGGAAACATTAAATGTATTCAGATAAGAAAGTGAAGGTTAAGTGTTTGTTTTTTGAATGTTGTTGCAAGTTTGTAGATTAACTGAGTCTTTTAGAGCAGAAGTCCCCAACCTTTTTGGCACCAGGGACCAGTTTCATGGAAGACAGTTTTTCCACAGGGGGGGTTGGGGTCTGGGAACAGGTATCGGTTACCGAGTTCTATGGCCTACAAGTTGGGGACCATGGTTTTAGTAAGTACGTATCTTAGTTATCTTTGTATCTACAATGAATTGTTCCATGTCCAGCTGTAGGTTGGAAAATGCTATATAACATCATCCTCATGCAGCATACAGCCCCCAACTATCACTGGTACCACTGGTACCACTTGTCCTTTTTACACTTTCTAATACAGTGACTTTACTGTGGAGTTTCTTTGAGTAACCTGATTTTGGGGGCTTATTTTATGTTCTAAACGGTTATACACTACTGATCCTCAATCCAGGCTGCACTGTGGTGCTTTCAGATTCTATAATGACCTATGCAGCTTTCAAAAAATTAAGTGCCCAGGACTCAGCCCAAACTTCTTTCATTAGAGCCTCTGAATGGTGAAGCCTAGGTGCATGGGTGCGTGCTATGTGCTTTTAGAGGTTCATGGTGATTTCACTTGCCCTATAAATTATGTTAATACTTTTATTTTCCACATATCTGTGACTAACTGCAACCACTTTTGTTTAGTTTCAGCAATGAATATACTATTTTAATATACTATTTTTTCCACTGATACTTAATTTCTCTTCTTCCCCAAAAGTCTTTTTTCTCCTCCTCGACTTCTGATAAAACAACAGGCTTCAGGTGAGTGCAGTGGCTCACACTTGTAATCCTAGCACTTTGGGAGGACAAGGTGGGAGGATTGCTTGAAGCCAGGAGTTCAAGACCAGCCTGAGCAAGAGCGAGACCCCCGTCTCTATAAAAAATAGAAAAATTAGCCAGGCATGGTGACGAGGCAGTGAAATCACTTGAGTCTAGGAGTTTGAGGTTACGGTGAGCTGAGATGACACCACTGCACTCCAGTGCGGGTGATAGAGTCAGACCCTGTCTCAAAAAAAAAAAAAAAAAAACTCAAAAATAGGTTTCCTATGTTTAGATAGTTGCTGATTCTTAAAATGAAGAGCAAATTTTTTATGAAGATAATTTGATAAGGGAAATTTTCAAGTAAAGTAAACATTCACATTTAACTGGATATTACATATTAACAAAGTTATTCACATTTATCTGGAATGTGAAAAGGAAGTGTTACTTAAACTTGCTATATCCAGTTTCTCTGCTATTCGTTCTTGAATCTGCTACACTCAAGAGTTTTCCCACTGTAGTCAACCAGAACTGCTCTTGTCCAGGTCACCAGTGATAGCATTGTTACCACATACAGTGCAGCCTGCATTTTCCTTTATCTTTGTATCATCAGTATTTAACACAGGCTGCCACTGTCTTCTCTGTGAAACACTGTTCATTTGGCTTCTAGTATACTACTGTAGGATTCCTGCTGCTTTTATTCTTTACAGGTTCTCCATCTATCTGACCTCTGACCTCTTTTTATTCTACCTATTTGTTCCCAATGAAATCAAAGCCTCACAGTTCAGTTCTTAGATCTCTACTCTTTTCTGTCTATACAAATTTAGATGACCTTGTTCAGCCTCTTAACTTGAAATGACATTATGTGCTCATGACTCCCAGATTTGTAGAATTTATAACTCAAAGCAACTGGACTTCTTTCCTGGATTTCAAGCCAGTTTATTTAACTACCTACTTAACATCTGCATTGGGGTGTTTAATAGGTATCTCAAACTTACTATGTCTAAAACAGCTTCTGACAACTTAATCTTCCCCCAGCTTACTCTTCCTATGGTCAGTCTTCCCATATTTTTAGTGATTAGGCCAAAAACCTTGGAAACATACTTGACTCCTTTCGTTCACATTTCACATCTAGTTTGACAACAAATCCTGTCAACTCTAACCTTCAAAACATATCAAGAAAGTCACTTATCCCATTGCCACAGCACTCTTTTCTGAGCTACCATCATCTTTCAAATGGATTATTGCAGTGGCCTGCCTGTTCTTACCCTTGCCTCCTTGTGGTCTTCTAACATCCAGAGAGATCCTGTTAAAAACATACATCAGATAATATCACTCCTTTGCACATGACGGCCATCTGTTTCATTTTCAGTAAAAGCAACGAAGCCTTAACATGATCAGCTGTCCCTCCCTGTCTCTCTTTTCCTTTTGCTTACCAACTACTCACTCTATTCCAGCCCAACTGGCCTTACTCTTCCTTAAACACAGAAGGCAAACCTTAGGGCCTTTGTACTTGCTATTTCCACTATTTGAATTCACTTCTCCCAGAAATTCACATGCTTCAGTCTTCACTCAAAGTCACCTTTCCAATGAGACATCCCAGGTCTCCTTATCTAAATCCACCCTTGACCTCTCAGCATTCCTGTCTCTTCATCCCTGCTTATATTGCTTAAGGAGAAAAAATGAGTAACCTAATATTAAGATATGTAATAACTAATATTTGCAGAAAGTTTACTATGTTCTAGGCACTGTTCTGAATGCTCATTTATTTCCTGAAACCAACGATAAAGTAGGCACTAGTAGTATTCTTTCTGCTTGCAAGTTAAGTGACTTGTAAAAGGACAAGTGGCAGAGTCAAGATTCTAACTAGGAATTTGACAACAGGGCCCACAGTCTTAACCACTGCACTATAATGTCTTTCTTCTCAGGTTTTCAAGAGAAACCCTTTGGAAAGACACCTTGTAGCTTCATAGAACCCATGGCACACCATTGTGGGGGCCACATGTGCCTCAATTTAAGAAACAATTTAAGAAAATGGAGCTAAAAGATCATTCAATAAAATAACAAGAAGAGGCAACTGTAGGGAAAGAAATCACAATAAACGGATAACAATTAGAAATAACTTGAAACTATAAAGTAGCACCCTAGATACCACCCTGGATAGGTTTAGAGAGCACCTTCTGAAGGAACCTGAAAGTAAAAAAATTCTGATATGTAAAGGTTCTGGTTTAAGAGCTACCAAAGAAGCAGGCTTCCCCAGAATCTGCCACTCAAATTGTTCCTCTTCACTAATAGCTATCGACTCAGACTCAGCTATAACAACCTCAGTCACTTTTTTTTTTTTAAGAGACAATGTCTCGCTCTGTTGCCCAGACTGGAGTGCAGTGACACGATCATAATTCACTATAGCCTTGAACTCCTGGGCTCAAGCAATCTTCCTGCCTCAGCCTCCCAAGTGGCTGAGACTACAGGTACACACCACCACATCCAGCTAATTGTTTTTTTATTTTTTGTAGAGACGAGTTCTCACTACCTTGCCTAGGCTGGTCTCAAACTCCTGGCCTCAAGTTTTCCTCCCACTTAAGTCTCCCAAAGCACTGAGATTACAGGTGTGAGCCCCCATGCACAGCTCTACCTTCTTTAAACATATCTGCATACATATAGAAGTTCATAACATTCGTTATGTGCCCTTGAGTTTTCTATGTGTGTGCACTATATTGAGATGGATGCTGTTCTGCAACCCTTCATCTCCTTGTCTCCTTCTGGATACTATAGAACTGGTATTGACCCAGGTTGACGTAGCATCCAGTGATGGAATCTTGATCTAGTGTTGCATTCACTAGTTCAAGACAAATCAAACGATTGTTCTTGGATGGAAAATGCATCTTTTCTGCTTTTATCCTACATACTTTACAAGTACTCTCTACAGTAGTATTAAATGAAGTAGCCTGAGGAATCTTGATCTTTAAGCAAGAATCTTTTCTGAACTCTGACTTGAATGGTATGGGTAAGAAAGAGAAAAGAAATAGTTCTATCTCCTGCAGGGAAA